GCACAACCCTTGAATTGCTGTAGGAAGGGCTTCAGTAATGCTTTAAAGAAGACTTTCATGGTTGCTATTTACACAAATATCATTAGAAAAACAATGAACTCTTGGCCCATGGATTGTTTTTAAATACTGGAGATTAAATCCAGAGCCTTCACACTGAGGTACATTCCCAGCTATCTTTTAAAAATAGGGTCTTAGTACATCACTCAGTTACCCAGGCTGGGATCAAACTTGAGATCCTCCTGCAATAGCCTCCCAAAGTTCTGGGATTACAAGTTTATGCCAAAGCAAACAACAATACAACAGTAACTGTTCTTTTACTACAGTGCTTGCTCCCATGTATTTAAAAAGGTAGAATTCAAAATCAAATAAAATATAATGTACAAGTTGAAATCTATGCTTCCTTATTACAATCCTTGAGAATAAGTCTGTTTTCAGGTTTAGATTTCTTTGGATTTTGCCAGTATTACCTATGGATACACATATATAAATTAAAATACTAGCATAGTAACATTTGATTCACTTGAAACCGTGTACATTTATATTCCCTGAGCAAAAAATTAAAACATAAGATCTATAATTAACATATTTTAGTAATAAACAGTTGAAAATTTTTCCTGTACAGAGGTATGGATTTTATTATTTTGGATAACAGATCAGAAACACATCTCTCATGTCAGTATATGGAACAGATTATTCTCAATTCTTCATAAAACACTTTTAAATTTCCCTCCTCCCATTACTGACTCTTCCACATATGCCTCCATTATGATGGAGTATTTACCTAAATGTTACAGTAATGAGGCTCCCAAGCAAACTGGGCAAGTTAAAATATTTATGGAATATTGTGTTAATGACTCTTCTAATTATACCTTTTTCTCCAAACTACTGTGGTGCCCTGCCTCAATAAATTTGGCATGTTCTAGGCTGTCGATTATTTTCTTCTCTATGATGTTTGAGAAATGTGGAGCTGTTGAAACTGTAGGGAAAGTATCTGTGTGTTTTGGGTTATAAGCAGGATAGTTACATCACTTCAGATGGAAGTTTGATCTTGCGGTTGCTATATTTAGAGAAGCAGTGTGGCTGTGGAAATATGTTTGGTTGTCAAGCTGACAAAGGACGGAATGTGATGGTGAAGCTTAGCTGCCAACTTGACTGAGTTAAGAGGACACTGGAGAGGTGATTGGACCCTAGGTGTCTTGTTTTCCTCTGAGGAAGTATCCCCCTGAAATTCATAACTACATGTGCTGGTAGGAGGCAGGGCACAGCTGGAGATGAGCCACTAGGGCCTTTGGAGCTTGTAGGTATTGTTCACTGTGCTTGTCAGCTGCCCTGAAGTGAGCAGCATTGTCCCACCATGCTCTTCACGGTGATGTTTCTGTGCTGAACTGTGGGAATCACAGAATAAAACTTTTGAAACCGTGAACCCAAAATGAATCTCTTCTTCCAATTGCAGATGTTGGGTGTTTTGTCCCAACAACTAGAAAACTGAGCTATCCAGAGACTGATTACCTTAAGGAATGAATAAATTTTTCCCAAACACTGGCCATTTATGTTGTCATCTCCTTCTTTCTGAAATTCTTTCCTTCTTTCCTTCTTCCTGAAATTCATTTATATCTCTGATAGTTCTTGAACTTTTTAAAAAAGCACTTATTGTTTTTCTGCTAATACGCTTTCCAGTCTTTCTGCATTTCTGTTCTTTCTTCTCCTCACCTCTTTTTTTTTTTTTTTTTAATATCATTCCTTCACTGCTGTAGCTGCAGTTTTAACCTTGACTGTGAATACACCCAAATCAAGCTCTCCCAACCTAGGAGGGCAGAGGCTGCTGAGAGGCAATGGGACCCAGACCTGCTGTTCCTCTCTTTACCGGAGGGCTGATAGCACCATCTCAGATGGCTGGCTTTACATTTCAGTGAAAACAAGCTTTCTTTGTATCTCCAACCTAGATCTAGATAGATATTTTAATTAGATATTTTTAGTATTAATTTAGATGTTGATAAAAAAAGACAAGACAAAAAATGAGTAAAGATAGACCTTGAAATCGGGGACTTTTCAGACTTCAAAGCAAACAGTCAGTGAAAGTGTTTTTAACTTAATAACGCCATAGTCCAGGGTGAACAGCGGCAGCAGAAACAAAAGATGAGATTTCAGCTCTACTTGAGCAAGAGAGCTGCAGACGAGGTTATACTTACAGTCACGCTGACAATGTGGTCCTGAGCTGGAAGCACTCCAGGACACCGCAGGGAAGGGAGCATGCGCTTCATCTAAGAAAAGAGCCTGGGCGCTAGATATCTGTCATCTATAAAATTAATTTAAAATGCCAAATCACACGTAGAAACAGTCAAAGAATACTTAGGTGAACTAAGGAACAGTAGCACAAAATGGAATAAATTCAGCGAAAGAAGGTATTAAATGCAGAATAAAACCTGGATTTCTTTGAACTACGTCAAGGGGTTAAAATTGAAAATGGAAACACACAGAACACCGATACGGAAAATACCAGACATATCTTACAAAAGAAACCAACACAAATTTCATTTTTCCCTGGACATTTGGAGAAAAAACAAAAATTTCCCTCCTTTACTTAGGAGGGAAAAAGCAAAGTAGTGAGGGGAAGGACAAAGGGAAGGAGCCAAAGTAATGGTGTGCTATGGCGCTGGTATTTCACAGTGAGCTGTATAACGTCGCGACAAACCACGTGCTAAGTGTTTTTCAGCACAGAAAGCTGCAAGGGAGCCTAAGCCTAGTGGTAAGCTCAGGGGGATTTAGCACAACAGTCAATCCGGGGGCCAGGGAAATGGGTCTGGAACCTGGGGCTGTCTAGCGCTGAGGTAACCCTGGAAATTGGGTTTGGAGGGTTTTAATGTGGTTCTGCACAAGCCTGGAGCCCAAGTCCATGCACTGGAAGGTGCTTGACTCCAGCAGGGCTGACCTTTGCTGACATTTGGTCTTTGCTGTCAACCTGAAGCTGGGACCAAATGATCTAGATTGACACTGATGTGGCCTGGAGTGTAGGATGAGCCTGGAGCTAGACTCTGCAGCATCTGTTCTGTAGCTTGGGGCCACAGGGTCTTGCCTGGCTGAGCGGGACTGGTGTCCATGAATGCAGATGGGAGCATGGAGGTGGGATCTGCAGGAGTCAGCTCAGTGCTGAGGCAGCCTGAAGTCTCCCGCCACCAGGACTCCTTTGGTGCTGTATCGGCTCAGACATCACAGCAAATGTGGCCAACCTGCAGTCTACAGAGCCCTCCCACCCCTTTAATACTGTCATAATAACAAATATGTGCATACTGAAAAGGAAGCTTTGGTACTTATGTGTGGACCAAGAGCGTCCCTCTTCACTCCCTGCAGCTGGGCAAGACACAGGTTGAGCGCACCCGGCCAAGGCTGGGTCTGTGAGTACTGCCTGGGCTCCTTGGCTGCTGGCGCCAGCTGGGAGCCTGGGGCTGCCTGGTCTGCTCTGGCAGTGGGAAGGCTGGGACCCTGAGTCTGTGGGGGTCAAATATGGTATATCGATCCTACCATTTCCAAACAAAACACTTCCGAATTTTTCTGTATTAATGGCTATTTCATCTAGAAAGAAGCACACATTCAATTATTTCCAGGAACAATAACTTTTTGAGAAATTTACTTTATTTGAAGAGTTTCAGATCTAATTGCTGAATAAGAGGTGCCATAAACTTATTTGTACATCATTCCCTATTTCATGGGAATTATTTAATACTTTGCTTTTTATTGTGAGGTTTGCTCTAATTTTTTTGGCATAGCTTTCTCAGATGAAAGCAGTTCTTATTTTTCCAATATTTTGGAAAGCAGTTCTTATTTTTCCAATATTTTAAAATTATGTTTCTAATATTTAGAAAAATTATTGAAAGTTTCATTTTAATTTTTTCTGTATCAACTGGAACATCTTTAAGGTGGGCAATGGTGATTTTTATGTCTGCTACAAGAGGTTAAAAAATGTGGTGGTAATGTTGCCCATACTATGTACAAGGACTTAGTTTCAATCTCAAGAACCAAAAAAATTCAGAAGTGATATAGTGCTAAGATTTAAAACAGCCTAATTTAAATCAGGACTTAAAAGTGGAGATTTCTTTAGCAATACAATGTGATTGTGGTAGAAACAACTCTTACAAGATGTGTAAACAGTTTTTTTGAGATCCTTGGAAATGGACAAGCAAAATGACAACTTAGAAGTACACACCGTCCCTTCAGCAAGAGCCCAAAGTGTCCTGTCATCTGGCAATGTGTGATGAGCCAAACCAATCTCAAAACAGCTCAAGTGTGAGAGTTTCCTGCTAACTTTAAGTGACACATTGATAAGAAATACGCTTTTTCTGCTCTTGACTCACTCTGAGCCTCACAGGACAGGCTATGAAGATCACAGATATTTTTGTTCCGGTCCCAAAATTTTGCTATTAAATTTCATCGTTTTATAAACTCATCCGTGGCAGGACTTCTTATTTGAGTAACCAGGGCTTCCCACTAAAGGAAGTGTGACTTTCTGCCAACAGGAGGAATGTGTTGCTCCTCCCCCAATCGCTGTACTAGTCCAACTCAATTATTGAGAGCTGGCAAAAACTTTATGTAAGGTAATTGAGTATAATTCATATAAAATAAAATCAAAGGAGAATGTTGATATATTTACTTAAATAATTCAAGGAAAGATCCTAAGACAAGAATTACACTGGTTGATTCTGATTGTTGCCTGTTGAGAACTTTTCAAGGGCATCCATACACATTTCAACTTGCTAATCAATATCATTTAGAAACCTATAAGCGTGTTGAAAATGTACTATCAATTTTAGATATTAGAATCCGTATGCTGTGAATATTTGAATAATAATGTACTAATTTAAATGTAGCCCAGACAGTATAGACTATTAAAAATTTCGTTGGATAAAGAAGGCCAAATATAATTCCTCAGATACTGACATAGATTGAACAGTAGTAGTTTATTTTCAATAAATTTACAGTATTATTTGGTAACTTCCAAGGCCCATCATGGTAGCACAGTCCCTGACCTCACTCAGCTTCAGGGATGAGCGTCTGAAGAATGATTCCCTTGGAACTGGTTCTGGACAGAGAGCCAAAGAAGCTGCCCAGCAAACTTACGAGCACTAAAACTTCCATTTCAATGAGTGAGCAGGAGAAAACCCATGCGCTGTTAAACTTACAACTCCAAAATGCTTCACAGGAGCAACAGGGAATGACAATGTCTACAATTGGAAAGGTAAAACATTTCATCGATCCGTTATGTACCTCTTCTAGGCTGTGAAGTTGGGGCAGAGACATGTGGGTAAAAAGTGGCCAACAGGCTCATGTGCTCTGACTTGAGCTGTGTCATTCTTTAAAATGTGAAGGTTAATTTTATTTGTTGAAATTTCTTGTCATTGAGTCAACAATTATGGAGCATTATACTCACTGAAAATAGGTGTTCTAGAGACAGATTGCACTTGTGGGAGTAGGCTTGGGATTCAGGTTTATCTGTGTGATTTCCTGTTCTGTGGGCTTGTATGTAAACTTTCTAAATAGCTCGCTCCCTCCTGCTTAGTCATCTGAGCCATGCTTGACCCTGAAGATTTCCCATCACCGCCTGAGAAGCCCGTTGCGGCACTCCTGGGAATCATCTTCTTTATCTGTAAAGTCTCCATGCTGGTGACAGTGGTTGTTGTTATTCTCGGTATGTATATTTTTGAGAGCATAAAGGGATATACCATATTCATGATAGAACATATCTTTAAACATTCCAAATTATCAAGAGTTCTCATTTTAATTCATATACTTGGATGGAATGTGGAATTGCTATTCTGAATTCTTCAAAAATATAAAAATTGAAAGACTTTAGTTTGCATTTTTTAAAATTATATACATATATCCTAATTTCATAAGCAAATATATGCTTTAGAAGGCTGAAAATCCTTAAGAAATACAAATTAATTTTGAAAGTTGTAATATACTGTGCTGTGTATACTGTACTGTGACAGACACTGACTTCAGACATTTGGGTCTTTAATGAAATATTCTTCTCAAAATATTTTATTATTTTATTAATTTCTTGTGGCAAAATCTGTTTCATTCTATATTATCCTAGTTCTAAATGTTATATACTTAAAATAAAGAAATTTACTTTATTTTTTTAGAAATTAACTTTATAAGAATTTCTTAAAAATTTCTTACTGCAGTACTGTAAGAGCAGAACCAGTCTTCCTTGATTAAAAAAAAATCAAAAAGATATATGATGATTTTCAAAATTCTGATATTTGCAGACTATATTTTCTTTCTAGCAGAAGCCTTTCAAAATGATGATAGATTTCCTTCAGGGGAAACTAAAGCAAACTAAAAAGATGGGATCAAGATGCTCATAAATAAAGCAAGAGGACACTCCTTTCTGATAAACAATAAGAAGACATACCCATTTGAAATTACAATATTTGCACCAATATTATCAAATTTCCTACTTGTATAAAGTGAGAGATAAATGTAGTATTCTAGAGAAGAGGTTTTGTTCAGTGATTTTCTGTGCTTGTTTATATAAGTGGGGTTTTTTGTATATGTGGCAACCAGTGGTAATAGATAGGTTTATGTACTGAGGAGCAATCATAAAATACAGTGAGTGTTTAAAATATTTATGACAGAAAGGCATGCTGCCATTAATCTTCCTCAGATACTCCCCTTATTTCAAGCATGCTTACTCTGCCATTCTTCCCACTTTCTGAAGCAGTTCTACAAGTCCTCTTTCCTGTTTCTTTTCAGTTGCATTGATATCTTTAATGAATTAAAAAATATTTATGACAACTTTTGCTAAATAAAAACATCATGTGTATCCTTATCTTCATTACTTACTGGATCTAGCATCAAGTGCCTTCTAGCTCTTCCTGAAAGTCAAAATCACCATGAAAGGTTAACATTTTGAAGCAATTCAAAGCATCTAGGCAGCCATGGTAGTGCAATTAAAATACCGATGAAAGAGGAGTCACACAGCTCCCTAGACAGTGGCAAGCACGATGGGATAAGTGTGTTTGAAGCAAGGGGAAGTACTCTGAGAAAGATTAATGATGATGTATATTTTATTGTAAATTTTTTAAACACATGCTATGTTTTGGTCACATCTTGGATGTTTATATGTATGCAAATATGTAAATTCATTTTCATATTTAAAAATTCATGTGGCTTCTGGATAGAAATCCATCAACTTCCTTTAACATATCAAAGGGAGTGCTTTATGTATTCCAAAAGTTGTTATTCCATTAGTGTGGGAAATAAAACTTGGAACGAGTCCTTGGTATCCTAAGGTCACAAGAATTCTAATGTGCTTTTTATAGATAATGAGGAGAAAATGATAAGGTTTTAAGTGTTTCTGTTAAAACTTTTATATAATAAATATTATATTTGAAGAATTCAGCCATATTATTACAGAGTTTTCATTTATTTACAAAGCTGCATAAAATTTCATTGGTTACAATATTTTATTTTTATTTCTACATTGCTAATATGCATTTTATTATTTAAAATTCTTGCTTTTGATGGAAAGTCATGTCTACCTAAAAAGTTTTCTCCTGAAATAAACTTTTCTATTCAGTTCTATCATACTTTAAAAGCCTGAACATCTTGTAATTCTTAGATTGTTTACAAAGCAAATGGACAGATATAATTCGAGTCAGATCACGGAATGGAAGCTCACAGTGCCAAACTGCCCCGGCCCTGGATACCATCACATCAGTTCTTGCTTCTCCTTCAACCCTGATCCTCATTTACGATTATAAATTAGACTCCTCTGTTTCTGAACTTTTTGAGAGTGTAATCGTGCCATAGGCATTTTTATGTCTGTCTCTTTTCAGCAACCCATGATTTGGGGGCAATTTTTGGGAACTCTGTATACTTAGGATCCTACATATACTTCTGTTGATGACAGTTCTCCAAAGAGGGAATGAAATATCGACTTTTAATTTGGTATTTATTTGTAAATAAAATATTGACTTTTAATTTGGTATTTATTTGTAAATAATGCCCTAACTTTTATAAATGAACTACACTGAAAGGTAAAGTGTGCTATCATAATTTGCTTTAAATGTGTTATTGTATTTATTTTACTTGTAAGATGCTAACAATGAGAAAGAAATTTGATGTTTCCATTTCTATGGTCAGATCACTGAGCTGTTAGCTTCTAAATGTCAAATTACTAATTAAAGTAATGATGTAAGTTGTTTACATAAGGTTTTTTCTTTTGTCTTAAATTTAAATATTTATTACAAACGCTTTTTGTATTGTATCTATGCTACTAATTTTAGTTTTTAGTGTACTCAAGAAAAGTAAAAATAGGAAATTCTAGAAAGCTTAGACAAGAGTTCAACATTACACAAAGTGACAGTGCATTAAAGGAACTTTTGATAAGACATTAGAATATGACATTTAAAAAATAAAATACATTGGCAAAAATGGAGCTGGAATTGTCTTTGAAGAACAGATATCACAGAAAAAATAAGACCTTTTCAAAACCTTTGCAAAATACAGGTAAGTTATGGTAGAAATTCTTAAGAAAAGGTTGCATTATTTTTTTCATGTACAGAAGTTTTGAAGTTCAATTAAAAGACTTATACTATTTATCTCTGGATCTATAGGAGAACTTTTTCTTTTCACCTTATAGATATGGGCTAGATATGTGGGTTTGTTTCTAGGTGGGGGCCCTATGAGCCATATTTGGAGTAGTAGAACCCTATAGTTGCCCAAAATCAATGGCAAATTAGGGAAACCTATATGTTCCAGACACAAAATATGGAAGTTGTCCTTTAAAATATATTTACTTTAACATGAGATTTAAGTGTTTTCATTTGGATGCTGTTATAAAGGTTAGTTTGGGTGTCTGTGCTTTCATTCTGTTTTGAGTTTAGATGTTTGGTCTATTTGTAATTCTCTATCTCTCTCTCTCTCTCTCTTTGTCTGTCTCTCTTCCATCTTTCCCTGCAGTACATCTACCAGACTGACTATAGTATTGGTGCTGACAAATAAAATGTTCAATTTCATGGCCTAAAACTTTTTTTGCATAATGACCCAGTTATCTTGACTTGATCTGATTAATAATAATGTTTACAAGATATTTAATCCCACTTTTACATGATAGTAGAAATTTATTACTTCTTTTATTAAGGGCTTTATAACATTTACAATTTGGTACATCACAAAATAAAGAGAATTTTTAAAATTCCAAACATTTTTTTTATGCTTAGAAAACATACCAGATTATTTTTTAAAACATGATTTAAATATTTTTACAACAAATTTGTTGGTATTATTGCTACACAAAAAACTGCATGACTAATGTATTGAGTTTGATAAGTTTGGACAAACACGTATACCCTTGAAATCATCATCACAATTAGGGTAATGGATTTATTTTCAATCACCTTCAAATGTTTTCTTATGTCTCTAAATTTCTTTTGCAACGAGAACATTTAACCTGGATGAACCCTATTAAATTTTTAAATGAATACAGTGTGATAAACTGCTGGCATTATTATCTGCAGAAGATCCCTAGAATTTATTCATCTTCCACTGCTGAGTATTTATACATGGAACATTTCCTTATTTCCCCTCTCACCTACATGGAGCAACCACCATTTCAGTCTCTGCTTCTATGAGTTTCCCTTTTGTAGATGCTTCATATAAGTGGAATCACAAAGCGGCCGTACTAATGACTGGTTTATTTCACTGAGCATAGCATCTTCAAAGTGCATACGTGTTGTCTCATATGACACAATTTATTTCTTTTTATGGGCTCAATAATATTTCTTGTTGTATATAAACCTTATGTATTCTTTTGTCCTTCTATATATATGTACTATTTTTATATATTACATATATGTTACTTATATATATTATAAATAATGGTACATTGAACATTAGCATATACCAGACATATCTAGGCATTCTAGGAGCTTGATAAACTGTATATTATCGTTACTGAACTATGAGTTTCTTTATTGAATTGTAGAAGACTGGTAAATACATTTCTCCAACTTGCAAACTACTACATAAGAAGAAATTTAATGATTGAGATATTTTATTTTATTCTATATTTAAGTTGCTAACTGTGAAATTAGATGTTTCCATTTCTTTGGTCAATTCACAAAGGTGTTCCTTTCTAAATATCAAATTACTGATTAAAGTAACAATGTGAGCTGCTTGTCAAAGTGAGACTTTTTCTTTTGTCATAAATTTCAATATTTACTCACTATCAGTATTTTGTATCATATCTATATTATTAATTTTAGTTTTTCAGGAAAAAAATGAAAAGGAGAAAATTCTAGAAGACCTCAGGAAAGCTAACATTACACAAAATAACAGTTCAATAAAGGAACTTTTGACAAATAGGACTTTAGAATATGACATTCTTAAACATAAAATGGATCAGACAATAAACAGATTTCATGGGAAAGATAAAACTGCTGCAAAACCTTTGCAAATTACAGGTATGGTGGAAATCCTTAATAGAAGTCTGCATTACTTCTTCTAGGCCAGAAGCTTTAAAGTCTAATAAACAAGTTTAGACTACTAGTGATCTATGGATTTAGTAAAAATCTTTTCATTTATACCTTATAAATATGATCTGAGACAGAATTTGCTTATTTCAAGTGGGGAACCGGGGACTTCAAGGCCATGTTTGGAACCCTACAGTTCCCTAAACTTAAAGGCCGTTCTTGCATTCCTCCTGCTCCCAGAAAGTGAAATAGTTTGCAACCTCCCCTGAAAATCTGAATCTTTCTATTCCCATAAGTAAATTAAAAAATCCCATTTTGTTGTTGCCATGAAGTATGGAGCCTGTCATTAGACATATATGTACACTAACATGGGCTCCAGAGCTTTTATTTAGATGCTGTTATTAAAATAATGTGTGTGTGTGTGTGTGCATCTGTGTTTTCATTCTACTTTGGGTTCAGATGTTTAGTCTATTTGTAACTATATATCTACAGCTATATCTCCCCTGCAGTACATCTGCAATATTAACTATAGTGCTAATGTTCCTGCAACTCTGTGTGATGATACCACACAGTAAGTTTTGTCTTCCATAATGACCTGGTTATCTTGAATTGATCTCATTAATCAATGAGTGTGAAATATTTCTTGAGGATGTAGTGTTCCAGAGAGCTTCTGCGTATTTAATCTTACTTTGGTATGGTTGTAGACGTTTATCATCTTCATTACTAAAGAATCAATAATGTTTAAAAATTTGGTACATTATCAGATAAGTGGAAAGAAAATAAAAAGTTCCAAAAATCTTTCATATATTTAGAAAATATTATAGAATATTTTTTAAAAATTAATTTGATAATGGTTTAAAACAACTTCATTAAGTTATCATTTCTATACAAAAATGCACATATTTAATGTATTCAGTCTGATAGATTTGGACAAATATATACCTATATAATTATCATGAAAATCAAGGTAATAGACGTTTCTATCACCTTCAAAAATTTTCTCATGTCTCTAATTATTTTGACAGTGAGAACATTTAACCTGGATAAACACTCTTAAATTTTTAAGTGCTCAATGCAGTATTGTAGACTGTAGGCACTATTGTCCACTGCAGATCCCGCGCACTGACTCATCTTGTGCTACTGAGAATTTAAACACTGAACAACATTTCCTTATTTCCCGTCACCTACCTTGGGCACCAACATTTTAATCTTTGCGTCTATGAATTTCACTATTTTAGGTACTTCATTTAAGTGGAATCATGAAGATTTTTGCTTTCTATGGCCAGCTTACTTCACTAAGCACAACATTTTTATGGTTCATTCTTCTTCACACATGGCAGGAATTATGTCTTTTTAGAAGCTGAATACTCTTCCTCATATGTGAACACATTTTACTTACCCTTTCATCTATCAATAGATATCTAGGTTGTTTCCATGCCAGTCTCTTGTGAATAATGCTACACTGAATGTGGGAGGGCAGATACCTATTGGCAGTTCCAGAATCTTGATGAACTTCGTATTTCATTACTGACAGCTATGGCATTTTTATTTTGATGAACTTGATCTTGAAACTTGATGAACTTCGTATTTCATTCCTGAGAGCTATGGCATTTTTATTTAGTTACAGAAGGCTGATAAATATATTGCTCTGGTTTAGATAACAAGAAACTCAATAATTCTTATATGTTGTAGGCAAAACTTATGAAGGACACTGGACCTGCTATGGAATAAAATGTTATTATTTTATCATAGACAATAAAACCTGGGAGAAATGTAAGCAGACTTGTCAAAATCACAGATTATCCCTTCTGAAGATAGATGATAAAGATGAACTGGTAATATAGACTCTTACATTCACCTCTGTTCTCTTGGACTGTTTCTCACTCTTAGGCCTAAGATAATAGGACCTTCAACTACACTTTGTGTTGTGTCTATTGTGTGGGCTGAAATCGTAATTTAGGAGTCTCCCAGGAGACACCTGCCTACCGAGAAGCACATGGTTCTGCTACTTACTAACTCCTCAATATATGTGATCTGTCATAATGGCAGTTTTTATTAAGGAAGCAGTTTGGGTCGTTGCAGTCAGCAGCCTTTCTAAGGTGTCTGCAGTGGAGCCCTCACAGAGAAGTATGCCTTTCCCTGGATAAAACTGAGTCCTTTGGTAAATTGGATCCAGTAGTTATTTATCCCTAGGTTGGCAACCAAAATCCAGGAGACAGCATAATCTGGGAGTTACCATTAGGAACCCAGTCACCAGACTGCCTGGGGATAACCTCCATCTTTACTGCATACTAGCTGGATGACATACTTAGGTTTTACATTTTTCTGTATGTTTAATAATTTATGACACAGATACCCATTTTTAAAATAAATAAATAATGTACTAGTGGGAAATTACTTCAGAACATGTAAATATAGTGATTGAGGGGAGAGGGGATGAGGAGAGCAGCAGAGCTCTGGCCACAGGAACAGCGGGCTCCTCTGCCAGGCTTTCTTCTCGTTCGCCAAACAGCTGAGAATTTGTTACGTGATGTACTTTGTTTCATTTTCAGGGCTTCGTTCGACCCCTGCTTGGTGCAAATCACTACTGGATTGGGCTGTTTTTTGACACAGGGGGAAACAGATGGAAATGGATGGGGAGCGGCACATCTTCTGGAACGTGAGTGTCAGGAGCGCATTCAGAGTCTAACATCAGTGTGAGCTCTGGGAGGACTGTGTTTAAAAAGCGTCTTCTCTTGCTTCTTATACCTAATCCTATTTGCAAATGGAGATCACTAAAACAGGAACAATGAGTGAAGGTGTTTGAGAAAGCAAAGTTCCAAAAGGAAGAGAAGTGTTGTGCGGTTACTAATCATAACAAAAGCACACTGCTCAACAGTATGTGCTATAGGCCCATAGAATAAAGCAAACATTAATTTTAAGATGATAGAAAGTGATTGGCTATCTTGAGATATAGTATGCTTTATACAACTGATATATACATATATATTTGTTTATACATTATTTAGAATATGTAAGTGTGAGAATGTGTACATATACACATAAAAACATGTACATGCATAAACACTTTCCATTTTGAAACACAGTATTATATAAACCCTTAGGTTTACATTTAATTCTAGTCTACTGTAAAATTTAATTCTAGTCTACTGTAAAATTTAATTCTAGTCTACTGTAAAATCATTCATTAATGTTAGAAGTGTGAACTGTTATGTGTATTCCTAGGAGTTTTGTTATGTGTTTTCAAAGAACCTTGGTAGTTATTCACATTTTAAGCTGTTTTTATTTCTTGAAAGATAATAAACACAGTTATTTTACACTTGGTATCTGATGATCCTAGTATTTGAAGTTTTGTGATTTACAGCAATTCTCTTTTTCCTTTTTGAGCTGCTGTGGATAGCATTTGAGACCTGAGATCAAGGTTGTGGCTTCCTCAAGGAAAATGTTATATTTGTCTTGGGGCACTATTCCTCAGAGTTAATTTTTTTTTTTTTTTTTGAGACAAAGTCTCGCTATGTAGTTCAGGCTGGCATTGAACTCACTACATAGCCCAGGCTGGCCTCAAACTCCCAGCAATCCCCTCACTGTACCCTTTCAAATGCTGGGATTAGAAGCATGAATCACCATGCCCAGTTTCATCAGGGTCATTTTAATTTCTAAATTGGGATTTTGTAAGTATTGGAGTTCTGGGCTGCAAACCTGCAAAAGATAGCCTGCAAGGACTTCTTAATATAACTCTATCCTCTACTTATGCTCCCAGGCAGACCATCCCAGAGGTCAGAGAACAGAAGGGCTCATGGCCTAAATTAGGGCGCTCAAAGCACGCTGTTAATTAATTCCATTTAGAGCCTGTGACACAGTTCAGAAGGAAAGAGATGGGTTAGGTTGTTGTACTTAGTACCTTGGAAGGTGCAAGGAGTGAGGATCACCTGAATTTTGGGTTAAGAAATCTTATGCACTCCAACTCTTTATTCACATCAACTCTTTAGTCAATGATGGTGTGGTTTGTGGGGTCAGATGTGAGATGTCAGTAAGAAGGCCCAGCTGTCAGGAGGTTCTTGTGGTCAGGAACACATTTTCTCTGCTGGAAAGAAGAATCTTGTGAGCCTTATGAAGTTGTGGCCACAACTTCAGTTTGCCATTTACCCAATTAGCGGCTATGTGTTTACTTTGTGTTTCTTGGGCAGAGGCGAGATAAGTATCACCAGTTGGTGGTGAAGTCAAGACCCCAAGAATGCTGACTATGTGCTTCATGGTTTTGTGTATAGTTAGTATCTACTTGGTCATTTCTTGCTTTTTAGTCCCTGTTTATCCCATATTTACTTCATTACTGGACCTGTATATAATAAGTTTCATAGGTTAACTGTTTGTCTGCCCTTTCCTAACATGTCTATGTGTTCTTCTGATGCCTCACAAGCTACTTTGTTTCCTTTATCTTCTTTATATCTTTATTTTTCTTTCTTTAATTACATGAAAAATACTTTGATTTTGAATTCTGAGATGGGAGCTTCTTCTCTTCTGTTTAAACCCAAGATTCAAGACAGTTCCAGTGTGATTTTTGCTGAAAATGTATCCCTTTGAGCCTCAGCCCTATGCAGTTTGGGTGGATTCGTTATGTAGAATCTACATCTTGTGTGCATTCATTATTCAGCCTATGATTTCCATCTAGGGAAAAACTGTCATCAGTGTTTCACTTACCCTTGAGCTTCCCACCTTTACATAAACTCCAGCCTGAGTGGGAATCTGCTTCTCACCAGATTATGAACTGATTTCAGAAGATTCCAGTCTTTCCTTATTGAACATTTTCAATTGTCTTCCATAGAAAGGGAGTTCTGACACTTGATACACCATTTGGCTGAAATGGAAGACCTGCTTTGGGCAGGGTGCTCGATGGAGTCACATCTTTTAACAAATATGTATCTGTTACCTATGAGGAGAGGATCAAGGTAAAGCAAACAAAATCATCAATCAAGAAACTTTATGTCGGGTTATATTCTAATTCTCTTTTTGTTCTTAAAATACAGGCATATGAAACTTGGTAATGTATGTGGCAAAAATATGTTTCTTCTTTTTTATCTCTTATTTTTATTGAAAAAAAAAAACAACAAAGCAGGCTTGTTGTCTCATAATCACTTGACAATATTGCAAATTATTTTTGTCTGCTGAACAGAAACTGCTATTTTGGAGTAAAATGGGGCTTATAGGCCATTATTCTATTAATGGGCTAAAAGTGAAAAAAAAATGTTTAATGATAATTTATGGTTAATTTTCCATACTTCATTTAAGCAATAGAATGTTTTAAAAATTCATTACTTGTGTCATGGTAAGCTTCAGAATTATACAGTTGCTCACATATTTTCTGTTCTACAGTGATGTTGCAAAAAGGCATTTCTTTCTTCCCGATGGAAAATGTGCATTTTTAACTGCAACAAAAATATCAAATGCATTCTGTGATCAGCCCCGCAATTGTGCCTGTGAAAAGAAAATGGACAGCCCTTCTCCTGCTTCAGGGTGTAGCAGGGAAGAAAGGTAAACATGGAATGTGGTCATTGTTGTTTGTTTCCTGTAATAATTTATAACTACTTACAAATAAGTACTTTTGACTCCAGGACTTAGTCTTTCATGGAAACTGAGGGAGATGAGCCTGAAAAGGAAGAGAACATGCTTTGGAACATGACTTAGGGGTCAGAAGCCATTGTTCTTCCTGGAGAAGAGAGGAAGAGTTTGTCTTTGCGGAGAAGTTGCTCTTTTTTTTAGTAACCTTGAAAAATTATTCTTTCTTTGCATTCCTGAACCACCTGCAGTATCAATTAAAGAACCCTGATAAACAGTCTGCATCTTTTCCTTAAATCATTTTAATACCTGTCATCTTGATATCATAAATAAGAAATAGATTAACTCTATTGCCTGAGGAAGGAGACACCTGCCTGTGGGGTGTAAGTTCACACCCCACCATTTCTCCATTGTTCCTGGGGGCAGTGGTGCCAGAGATTGGAGTGTGAATTTGCACTATGTGCTTCCTTCATTGCCACAGGATGGTGGTGCTAGCAAGAGGAGTGTAAGTACACACTCTGCCCTTCCTCCATTGTCCCTGGGATAGTGATCCCAGCAGGAGGAGTAAAGAGGAGTGTAGGTCCACCCTCTGTATTTCCTCTGTTGCCCCAGAACCGTGGTGCTGGGGAGTGGAGGGTAGATGCACACTCTGTGCTTCCTTCTCTGTCCCTGGGATGGTGATGCCTGTGAGAGGAGTGTGTGTCCATGCTCTGTGCATCCTTCACTGCCCCAGGACAGCTTGCTAGCAACAGGAATACAGTGGCACTGGCAAGAGGAGCATGGCATTGCCAGCAAGAGAAGTGATGGTGGTCCTGGCAAGAGAAGTCATTTGAGGAGCAGACACCTACTATGAAAACCTTGACATCAGGGATAAGTCCATCTAACATTAGAAATCTAAAAGCATCACCACAGAAAGCAAAATAAAATTAAAAAAGAAAATGACAAGATGAAAAACAAAATGCAACCTGAATCACCCAGTCCACCCAGACAAGTCCAGACACAAAGAGATAAAGGAAATCAGAAGTCAACAAATGGAACTTTCTAAAATGATAGCAGCAAAAGTAAAAAAAAAAAAATGAAAGAGGCATAGAAAAAACAATCTCTAAGGTGCAAAATGAAATGACTCTCAAAAGACATGAAACCAGACAAAGACAAACAAATACAGGAGCTCAAAAAATTATGGAAACCATGAATGCTAAACATAGACAATAAATAGAATCAATGAAACAGATCCAAACAGAAATGCAGGAGATTAGAAACTCCACTGAAAGTGTATGCAGCAGGTTGAATGAAGGTGAGGATAGAGTATCAGATCTAGAAGACACAATGAGAGTAGCAATCAGGAAAAGAAAGGAAAGCCTTCTTAAAAATCACAGTAGATTATGAAAACTCAATCCAACAGCTACAGGATAAAGCAAAGAAGAACAAAATAAGATTGACTGGAATCAGTGAGGAAGCTGGAGACAGGGCAAATACCATTAAAAACCTCTTCACAGAAATAATGGCACAAAACTTCCCAGGCAGGGATAAAGAATTTGACATACAAATAAATGAAGCATATAAAACACCAAATAGCCACAACCAAAATAAATCCACCCAGGGCATATAATAATCAAGATTTCAGAAATTCAGCACAAAAACAAACTTTTATTTTTATTTTTATTTTTTTCGTGTGTGGTACCGGGGATTGAACTCACGACTTTGCACTTGCTAGGCAGGCGCTTATGCCACTGAGCTATATCCCCAGCCCCAAAAACAAACTTTTAAAAAGAGCCAGAGAAAAAAAAACATATCATCTATAAAGAAAAGCCCATCAGAATCACAGAAGATTTCTCAACACAAACCCTCAAACCAAGAAAAGCTCGGAGTGAGGTATTTCAAGTGCTAAAGGAAAACAATATTCAACCCAGATTGGTGTATCCTGAAAGACTGTCTTTCAAGATTGATGGAGAGATAAGACACTTCCATGACAAAGAACAACTGAAAAAGTTTGTGACAACTAAATGAGCTCTACAAAATGCTCTGAAAAACATATTAGAAAGAGATAACAAAGACCACAAATATGGGAACACCAATAGAAAAAAGCTGCAAGGCAGGACAAGGAACTAAACAGAGCAGAAAGACAGGGAACAAATGACAAATCCACAGCATGAAAAAGGAAATCCAATATATATCAGTTATAACCATCAGTGTAAATGGTCTCAGTTCACCAATCAAAAGAAACACATTGGCAGATGGATCAAGAAGCAAGATCCAACAATACATTGCTTTCAAGCAACATATTTAACCCAAAAAGAAATTCATAGACTAAATGTCAAACGGTGGAAAACAGTTCTACATGCTAGAAGAACCCAGAAAAAGCTAGGGTAGCTTTGCAGACAATGCAAACTTCAAGCCAAAACTAATAAAAAGAGACAAAGAAGATCACTACATGTTGTTAAGGGAAAACTCCAAGATGAACAGATAATAATCAGGAATATTTATGCACCAAACACATTCACTTAACTACATAAAGCAAATATTAACTGACATGAAAACCAACTAATCACTAACACAATTGTAGTAGAGAATTGTATTACCCCTCTCACAAATGGATAGATCAATTAGACCAAAAATCAACAAAGAAATATTAGAATTGAACCAAGCCTTTGAGCAAATGGTCTTGGTATGTGTACACAGAGTGTTCCACTACAAAATATCAAAATATATATTCTTATAGCTGCACATGGAATGGTCTCCAAAATAGATTATATATTATCTGATGAAACATGTTTAAGTAAATGTAGAGGAGTTGAAATCATCCCATGAATACTCTCTGGCCATCATGCAGTGAAACTGGAAATCAACAACAAAATAAATCACAAAAACTACACAAACACATGGAAATTAAACAACACCCTACTGAACAACCAATGGGACACAGAGGAAATTAAAGAAGAAATTAAAAAGCATATACAATTAAACAATAAGGCGGATACAACATAATGATTGCAATGAAAGCAGTCTTATAAGGGAAATTTATAGTGATGAACTCACACATTAGGAAAACAGAATGAGCTCAGATAAACAACCTAATGTGGAATTTAAACTTCTTGAGAAAGACAAACAAATCAAACCTAAAGCTTATATGAGGAAGGAAATTACAAAGATAAGAGTAGAAATCAATGCAAAAGAGACTGAGAAAACAATGCAAGAAAACTAAATCAAGAAGATATAAAAATTCTAAATAGTCTAATATCAACCAATGAAACTGAAAATGTAATTTAAAATTTACCAACAAAGAAAAGCTGAGGCCCTGAGTCATTGCCAAATTCTATGAGAAATTTAGGAAAGAACTAATGCCACCAATGCTAAAATTCTTTAAAGAAGTTGAAAAGGAAGCAGTACTTCCAAAATCATTACTGGAAAGAAGTATTACCTTGATTTCAAAACCAGACAAGGACCCAACCAAGAAAGAAAACTACAGGCCAGTTTCCCTAATGAACATTGATGCAAAAATCCTTAATAAGATACTGGCAAATATAATGCAGCAAATCATCAAGAAGATTAAACATCATGACTAAGTAGGATTGATTCCAAGGATGCAAGGATGGTTCAACATATGTAAATCAAGAAATGTAACATACCATATTAACAGAACTAAAAACAAAAAACACATGATCATTTCAATAGATCCAGAAAAAAATGTGACAAAATCCAACACCCATTCATGATAAAAACCCTATAGAAAATCGGAATAGAGGTGTCTAACTCAACCTTATAAAAGCCATTTATGACAAACCAACAGCTAATATCATATTAAATGGTCAGGAACTGAAAGCTTTCATTCTAAAATCAGGAACAAGACAAGGATGTGTACTAGTTTTGGAAATATTATCCTGTGCTATTAGACAAGAGGAATAAAGAAAAGGAATAAAGAGGAAAAGAATGATACTCTACACAGAAAACCCCCAAAACTTCATCAAAAATTGTAGATCTAATATCCAAATTCAGTAGTATAGGGGGATACAAAATCAACACTCAAAAGTCAATAGCATTCCTGTACACAAGCAACAAAATTGCAGACAGAGAAATTAGAGGAAGTACACCTTTCACGATAACATCCAAAAAATATGAAATACTTCAGAATCAATCTAAAATATAAATTTAAGCATATAGATGTTAAAGATCTAACATATGGATTTAAAAGATCTAACATAGATTTAAAAGATCTATACAATGAAAATTATAGTACTCTGAAATATGTATATATGTATACACAAGATAGCTAAGATAATTGTGCTATTAATTTCTATTGCTTTATTGAAAGGAACTGTTAATGTTTAACTATTTCA